GCGTGCTTCTTTCTTCGCAAGTAGCTCCTCCTCCTCCTTGGCTAATCGCTCCTCAAAGCCACAAGCCACCTCCGGACGCACTTCTTCCATCAGTGCAACACGCCCTTCACTTGCACTTTTTCTAAGCTTGGCGATCTCGAGCGCATTCTCATCCACAGTCTTGGACAGGCGGTCATTCAACATAATGAGTTGCGAGAACGCAATTTGAGCCTGAAAGCAAATGTTTGACGAGTCAAGTCATAGCATACAAAAGAAATCATCCCAAAGTGAGTGGCGATCCCAACAAGACGCCTGTTGCACCCACGAGAAGTGGAGGTGTATTCCGAGAGCATGTAAGTTGGTCGCTCACGGTGTTGAATGCTAGTTTGGCGGCCTTAATGTCGGTGAAGGCCAGGGGAGATACGACTATGGAATCTAACTGGTCAGGCTACTCCGCGGCCTTGTCACGTTGATCCCCGCCTTCCCATGAGAGGTATTCGCCTTGGCACGTTTGGCGGTCACAACTGAGGCATCCTGTTCTAGAGACCTCTTTCCAGCACCCCGCGTCAGAGGAATCGATGCCACAACCATTGTGCCAGACGGATCCGCGGTCAACTGAGCCTGCGAAGACAAGACCATGGGCAAAGTTTTTCCTGCAATCGCAGCCGAGGAAGACACACCACCAGCCTTCGTGGTCTTCACTGCCTTCTTCTTCTTTGGCCTATTAGCATCGGCCAAATCCCTTAAACTTGGAAGAAAGAAACATAAGTAAAATCACATGAGAAAGTGTAAGCATAAACTTAAGAAAATATTTCTACTGACCAAAAAACCCCGAACATGCTGGTAGGCGCTCTCAAGACCGTTGGGTCGTACCCGCAACTAAACGCTCTCTACAAGGCGGGCCACATGGCCCTTCACTGACTGAGGAAACTGGCTTGGGGCACACCAAGCTCCCTTAGAACCCATCACATACCCCGTTAGCGATTCAGTCTCTCCTGAATACCACTTCCATGAAGGACACGCGAAAAAATATTCCTTGTACCACGGAGAATCCAACTTGGGCGACCCCATGACAAAACCCACCGAGTTTTCCCGCCTTCCTCTAGACCAATAGTTGGTGGAATCCCGAATATTATAGATCAAGCGGAACGCATCGAAGGATGGATCTTTGTTAAGGCGGTTACACACAATCTGATACATCACATAATGAAAAATGATGGTCGACGACAGACGCCCCAGAGTGCATTCGAGCCAGTGTAAGACCTTAGTCAAGATGGGATCTAAGGGAACAACAACCCCAACTTCACCTACTCAACATGAATAGGGATCCAATCGCTCGGACACAACCCAGATCGACTCACCTCCGAGGGAGCCGCATAATGCCAATCGGGAGGAAAGTCAAGCGATTTTAAACGGTAGAGTACCTGCTCCGGCTTAAAGATCGCCTCATGTGACGGCCCCAGACCAAACACCTCCGGTGGTTCCAGTTGACCGCCCCACATACCCTCATGTCGAAGGACTGTATAGGTAGAATCCTCAATTGTAAGCGGAAGTGGTTCCCCACCCTCTGGTTCAACAATCTCTAAGGAAGAGGATGTGCTCGGAAGCGCCTCCGAGCACACACCGTCAGTATCAACCGCTTCGTCTTCATCCAATGACACACTACCTAAATCTATCTGCCCAAACTCACCCATGTTATCCCCAACCGCGGATGAAGTAGCCACAACCCTAATTGGCACAGGGTGGATATTAGCAAAAGAGTTATCTAAGTCTAAAGCGATCCCGACAAGACAATCGTTCAATTCAGAACCACTCCCAATGTATAATTCTAGCTCGGATAAATCCCACACGCACTCAGACGCGGTTCGAGTGGGAGAAAAACAGGTCATACCTTGAGTAATAGGAGCGGTCCCACCAGAGGATCCAGCGGTTCTCTTTCCGGCGACATGAAGCGACAGCGGCACTGCCGAGGTCGACCGATTCTTCTCTGAGGCGACCGCTGGGGCAAGACCGACAGTGTGCGCCTGGGTCGTGGTAGCAAGGACATCCTTCTCCACGGCGGAGGACAAAGTTTGGTCGTCGTTCGACATCTGCCAGCGACCAAGGGATCGACGGACGCCGTTGTCGCCATAAAGATCCCACTGAAAGCCCAAGCACCGCGCAATGGCGGGGTTCGCAAGAAAGAAATAATAGCACGAATGGTGAGAAGAAAGAAGGAAAATCATGCTATAAACACAATGCAAGCCGAGCGTCCAGACCGCCTCTCAAGCTTTCCAGCTCCATGCCTTCACGGCCAGGGGGAAGGCGGGTAATCATGGGTTGAGCAACCTCCAAACCGCTCAATGTTAGCAAAAGCAATTGTTAGCCGCGAAAACGTAAAGCTTCTCACGCCTAAGGGGCAAATGTTGGGCCACTCATTGAGACGCGTGGGCCATCAAGCCCATGATCACTAAAAGCCCATAAGTAGACAAACCGACCCAAACAGCATGGGATACACAAGAAAGCCCACCCGGAGGCGGTCTTCTTGAATGACTAAGGGAACCGCCCGACATTATTATCAACGTAAACCTGGAAGACCGCCTGACATAAGGGTCTAACGGTCTCTTGAATGCCTCAGTGCGGAGACTGACAAAGATACGATTTTGACTATGCATTTAATGAACCCGGAGGCTTTCATAGACTCCCGACAAAGCATTAAATGCCATAACCCCAACCAACGCTAGTATAAATACCCCTCAATGGGTCACATTTATGGTAACTTCCAACCACCACTCTCTCTCTCTCTCTCTCTCTCTCTCTCTCTCTCTCTTATTTGCTATTCTCTAGTTCTCTCACTAACTTAAGCATCAGAGGAGGTCCTAGGCTTCCCTTGATGACCTTTCCTTGTAGGGCATGACACGACCGCCCCCGATCAGAGTCCGTGCGCGGTCTGTGGATCTTCACCAACAGCCTGGTACTAATCAGGCCTAAACAATATCTAATCATGATATCGATCATATTATGTAAAATTACTAATGAACAAAATAAGTGTACATATTATATCAAAGTAGTAATGGAGTTATTTTCCATAATACTCTGAAGCTAGAGAGGAATGACCAATTTCACATTACTATGACTGCTGATAGTACATTTCAAGCAAAATGACTCGTTAGATCATTTATTTGGTTTGGGGAATGTGTACATCATGTCTATGTATGGACTAACAGTAGAAACAAAAAAACATTATATGAAAATCGCCTAGTTCATCGTCTGCCGCGAATAAAACAATCATATTACATCTAACAACAACAGCGGAATATGTGGAAGTTGAGATTCTCCAAATAGATGCATTTAATCAATTCATGTATTATTATTTGATGTATTGATTCAATGCATGTATTAGGAAAATACCTTGTTTGGAAAGATAATGATTGAGCAAAAAGTAGGGTAGACAATCCCTTGTTAACAATCTCTACTTTTTGTAGAGATTGACAATCATTCATTTTGAGTGATTGTGTGTGGGCCAGGAAAAAGGTAATACATGCATTCTAACTCAAATTGAACCAAAAAAACAACTTAATCTTATCATTACATGTATTGGCTAAATACCTCACTTGAAATCTCAACTTCCAAACGACCTAAGTCTCTTTGCTCCTCACTTCATGATTGCTTTTTCCCCACAAATGATGAGCAAAAAACCATAAGGAATCGATCGGCTGGGGACTTGGAGAAGCGGTGCTGGAGTGGAAGTTTTTCGTCGTTGGATGGATGAGAGGAATCAATTGGCCACTGGTGGAAGAGGAGCTTCAACTGGGGAGTGGAGAAGAGGTTGCTGGTGTGGAAGCTCTTTGACTACGGAACTTGGCACTGGCAGAATGGCAGCTGCTAGGGTTCAGCGGCCAAAAGACACAAAACCACACCAAAGGTTGCGTGTGGATACGTAAGTGCAAAATTTGAAAAAAAAATGCGAGAGGGGGGATTCGAACCCACGGCTCATTTAACGGGAGATTTTTTGTTTCCTCCCAAGTACTATCAATTTATTGTCAACTTAATTGCCCAACAAAAATAAGAATAACAAGTGAACACATTTTTTATTCGATGTTTCTTAATTTTTGTTGGGGCAACGAAAAATAAAAAACGAAATGGAAAGTGAACGGGGCATTAGCCAACCGTGCCATTTGATGGGCCACACTATTTGCAGCCCTTGGAACAAAAGTGCACTCAATAACTCTACGCATTCATTCTATCCACACGCGCAGAACCCAAATACCTCAGTCGTTCACAGATTATGCATGTCTCTGTCCTGTCGTCATCTTGATTCTTAATCTTGGAGATAATGGTTGAACAATCCGATTCAGCAAGCAGAGGCCAGAAACCCCTTCTCTCCGCCTCTCTCAAACCCATCTCCAAAGCTCTGGCCTCTGCCTCTTCAATCGAGCATTTTCCTTTCTCCTTCATTGAGAAACCGAAGATAAAGCTTTCTTGAACATCTCTCACCACCCCTCCCAGTCGATAGCCTTCATCTCCAATTAGACCTGCATTCTTATTGAGCTTGAAAGACCCAATCAAAGGCTTTTCCCACTTTGAGCTTGAACTTCGGCTCGCATGCACCTCAGGATCGGACTGGTCTTGAGCTTCCGGGTAATCGTCCACCCAACAGGCAACACATTGAGCAATCTCCGCTTCTTCCAACTTCTTATTATTAAATTGAAAAGTGGAAATATTTGGGGGTTGGAACCAAAACCGCACCGAATAATACGGTTAACGACAATCGAATAAGAGGAAATTCTAAATTGTGACAACATCACACACTATTAATGGTCATTTATGATAAATTGCGATATTAACTGGTGGCAGCAATAGACTGAATTACGGAGAGTCAAAAATATATGGAAGTCGGGTGAATAAATTTGGCTTTGTGCATGGAAATTTTTTTCCTCAAATTTGTAGATCAAGACGAATTTGTTTCTTCTGTGAATAATTTCAAACTTTGAGTTAAAAATGAAGATGGTAAAGAGTGGTAATTTGCGGTACACAAATTTCCTGGAAATATATCGAAAATGCATGTAGTTTAGTAGACCATAATAGGTTGTTCTATCTGCAACTGCAATTACATAGACATAATATGACTGAAATCAAACTTGTGAAGGCAAAAGTTGAACAAACATTAAAGGTTCTTCACAAACATGGACAAAAATTTCTTCTCAAATGGAGTCAACAAAACAAAGGCGTTGATGGATCTATCTACCTACGTCCCTTCCATGGAGGAGTAACAACGGGGTTTGTGGAACTGAATTCTCCAAGGATAGGTAGCCGTCTTGAACCTACCTATATAATTAGAGTTAATTACCAATCAAAACCCTGTCGATCGCCTTGTATACTCCTGGACCAGTGCCTTAAACAGCGACGGTCTTTCAAGCAATGCAGCTGGTTCATCATATTCCTCTGCCAGCCCTGTGTGTTCAACAAAACAAGAGAAAACTCCAAAGTCATCTTAAGCTCAAACAGGAATGCCCTGCTAATGTAGGCCAGAAATGGAGAAGTCTAAACAAAGATACATATTCATATACCATCATCCATAACCAACACCCGGTTGCAGTCCATGACTGTCGGTATCCTGTGAGCAATGCTAATGATTGTGCAGGCTGTAAAATCCTCCCTAATGATCCTCTGAATCACAGCATCGGTCTGGGAATCAACTGAAGCCGTAGCTTCGTCCATGAATATGACCTTACAATGGTGCTTCAGCAGAAGTCGACCCAAGCAAAGAAGTTGCCTTTGTCCAACGCTCCAGTTGTCTCCACCATTAGCCACTGTATGCAAAAAAGATGAAGCTTCGTAGATGTATAATTTTTCTTTTTTGTAGCAGAGACAAGTGAAAGTACTGACCAATAATCTTAACTGTTAACCACAAAGCTAGATTCAAACTTGTTGATTGGTGTAAACCGAGTTCCATGACTTCTTTAGAAAATACCTAAAGCGTCGAGTTTTTCAGGCTTAGCAGTCACCACATCTTTAAGCTGACAACGGTAGAGGCTCTGCCATATCTCTTCATCCGAATACAATCCAATTGGATCGAGGTTGCTTCTCACTGTCCCTTCAAAGAGGACAGGTTCTTGTGGAATGATTCCCAAACGGGACCTGAGATCATGGAGGCCTAGCTTGGTGATGTCAATGCCATCAATGGTTATTGTCCCATCTGAAGGCTCGACAAGCCTGAAGAACGCTTGAATGAGAGTTGACTTCCCACTTCCTGTGCGCCCCACAATGCCAACCTTTTCACCTCCAAGAATTGTGAGGGTTATTCCTTTCAGAACCAGGGGTGTATTTGGTCTGTACCTAACCTGCATACCAAAGTTCACCATCCCGTTACCTTTTAATTTGCTCTAAACTGAAGAAATAGTGGTGGGAAGTTTGGAAAAATCTAATAAGAAACGAAAGGTCACTACTTGCCTGCAAGTCCTTCAGCTCTATGTTGCCATGGCTGGGCCAATTAGGGTCCGGAATGAAATTCATGATCCACCATGGTGCTTCTGATGGAGTATCAGTGAACTGCTTTATTCTCTCGACAGAAACCATCCGATTCTCGAGAAAACAAGCCATGTAGGTGGTCCAAAACAGAACTGAATTGAGGGGAAGTCCATAGGAAAGAAACATGCCAACAAGTTCTACAACCCCAACAAATGTGGAAACCATTAACATACATTTCGAGCACTGAAAAATTCTGAAGCTTCTGGCGAGCTGAGACTTCTTAGTTCTGAAGGCGACATACCTGGTTTTATTATAGCACTTGGTGAAATGATCACGAACAATGTTGCAATGCAAAATATCAAACTTCCAAGCAATTCCAACCGGAAGCCCATCCATCCAGCAGCCCCAATGTTATGGAAATCCATTCTCAAATTTGCATTTACCCTGTCAATATTTCCCTGACAAAACATTCCTTGTTTCCTAAAGCAACGAATTGTCATCACACCAGATATTGTTTCTGAGAAATGATGGATAATTGGTGCTTCTGTAATAGAATCCAACCGAGTCAGTTCGCGAGATGATGCAAGGTAGTAACCCTGCAAACAAGAAGGATAAAGAATGGTTCATGCATAGGGTGATCGCAGCGTGGAACTGAGATCAGATGCATGTTAAAGTGGGAGAACTTGCATGTAGCAAAAAAAATCAGCATTGTTCTCACTGCTTACCTTGTACCAGATATTTAGCCAAAACAGTGGAATCAAGAGGAATACAGTTGGCCAAGAGAAGACACAAGTAACGAGGAAAACACTGAACAGGGTAAAGTACATCATAACTGTGAAGCCAAAGAACAACGGAATGTAGACATCAACATTTTCTTGATCATGTGATGCCTGAAACAAGAATTAAATTGTTGGTACAGTTTTTAAATACATAATATGGCAGATTACCTTAAACTTACTCGAGTTAAGATTCTTCCGGAAGGAGTGGTATCAAAGAACGACATTGGGGCGTGCAAAATGCTTTGGAGCATTTCGTTGAAGAAACGTTGTGCAATTGCAAGACCTAAATGTGAAACAAAGTATGCCCTAGCCAGAATACATAGACAAGAAACCCCTATAATGACCCAATATAGACTAATAAATATCAAAGGGGTAAAAGGACGACCAGGAGAGGTTTCATATGCCAGCCAATAGTCGCTGCCCGTTAGAGATGACTGCCACATAAGAGTAACTAGTACCATGATAGCTACTCCCCACCATCCATATGCTTTGGTGCAGTACTGCGTATACAGTTCCCAGGTAATATGACCAGTTTCTTTTTCTTCTTCTTCAATGAGCTTTGAGTAGTCATCTTCAGAAGAGAATTCAGAATATCCATCTTCAGGATCCGAATGAATGCTTTCCCCATTTGGTTTTACTTGGACCAAAGAATTTTCAGAACTCTGCTGTGTTTGTTGAGTATACTCTCCAGTTGTGGAGTTGTTCATATTTACTGACATCATGGAGTTTTCATGAGCAGCTACAAGAGCTCCAAAATCCATGCCAGATTTCAGAAGGTTTTCGTACTTCCCAGATTGTACAATCATCCCATCTCGCATCAGCTAGTTAGACAAACAAAAACTAATCAGCATTTAGAAATCTCTAGCTAATTTTGCGTTAACAAAATACACTAGAGGAGGAATAAGTCACCATTATGAGATCTGCATATTGTAAAAAGTCCACTTGGTGGGTTACTAGTAAAATAGTTTTGTCTTTAAGGATTCCCCTCACACATTCCTGCAAGATATTGCAAACAACAATCAGTCTTAAAAATGCAATTTTACCAACATGTAATCATAACTAAGAAAATACAATACATGTCTTCCAGCTGGTAAAGGGATTATATAGAACTTGACTTTGTATTATTTTTGTACCTTGAAGATTTCGGATCCAGTTTGAGCATCAACAGCGCTAAATATATCATCAAGAAAATAGATATCACAATCTTGATACACAGCTCTGGCCAACTGTATCCGTTGCTTCTGACCACCACTGAGATTGATTCCTCGCTCACCAATTTCAGTCTTGTCGCCAAACTCCATCATTTCCAAGTCCTTCTCTAAGCAGCAAACTCTCAACACTTCCTGATATCTTTCTCTATCCATTGGCAAACCAAACAATATGTTTTCTTCAATTGTACAATGCTGGATCCATGGAGTTTGTGCCACATACCCAGTAGTGCCACTGACCAAGACCTGCAGAAAAGCAATCCAGCAACTGGTTGGTAAGGAAATACCAAAACCTTTTTTCGTGATATAAAACCATGAGATACTAACCGTCCCTGTGATTTTGTGCATTTCACCAAGAATTGAAGCCAATAAGGAAGACTTTCCCGATCCTACAGTCCCAACAATTGCTACAAGCTCCCCTTTTTGGATCCCCAAATTTATATCAATCAATATTTTCTCATCACCATTATCATCCCAAGAAAAATTACCCTGTTGAACCTTCACACTAGAATTATCACTACATTCTTCTTCTCTTTCCACTGATCCATCCAAGTCGGAACTAGTCAGGTAAAGGTCTAACCTTTCAAGAGAAATTATTGCCTGGGAGAAGGAGATTAACGCATCTGGAAAGGTGCGAATCGGCTCTTCTAATACTCCTAACAGTGTTATTAATGTGAATACCGTCCCTGCATCAAGGGTGAGACCTAACAATATTGCAGCTGATAAAGTGAGAGCTGATATCACATAAGGAGCATTAAATATCACAGCCAGGGTAACCGATGAAGTGTTCATGAACCTGATAAGCCAACTACACTCTTGGTCCCTAGAAGATTGGACTTTCTTGCTAAAATGCTCTTCCCAACCTTGGAACTTGATTGCACGCATATTGTTAAGCATCTCATTTGTCGCTCGCATCCTGGCATCACGAGCTTCCATCACACTGTTCATGTAACTGTTAGTCTTATGGGTACTCATCACAGAATAAGTTAAAGCTGCAACAACTGCAGCTAATGCTGCAAATGTGGAGACTCCCATGTAAGCATAGACTAGGACTAAAGCAAGAGCAATATGTAAAGGCATTAACCATATGTCATGCACGTTTGACATCATTTCAGCCACCTGGTCAGCATCTACAGCCATGTGGTTCACAATCTTTCCAACCCCATTAGCTTGCCTAGAGGAACATGATAATCGAAGACCTTTCTTGAACACAGTAGTCATGAGGCTTGATCTTATTAACATCCCAAGTTTTCCAGAATGAAAATCGAAATGGTGGGTACTAAGGACTTCAATTGTTTTCGAAATCAGGAGAATACAAAGCAGATAGTATCCTTCGTATGCCGAGCTTCCCTGTCCATCTGTCACATCAACGAAACCTTGAATGAGGACAGGACCAATATACAATGCTATTGACTTAACCACTGCAAGGAAGCCGGTGAAAACAAGTTCCTTCCAGAAGCACTTGAGTAATGTGACTCCCACTAGATGCTTCAAATCCTCCTGTGGTTGAGGCCAATAAGTTTCGAAGATATCTGACATTCTTTAAGCTCGGTGATCAAGAGGAAGGGTTGGTACATCATCCAACTTCAGAGGATTTTTATGTCCTTTACTCAATATCGGATTCATCCAAAGCCACACAACTTTAGAAAACCAAGAAGCTGAAGCAAAGTCACTGATATTAGACTCCAATTTTTTAGAATTTTTAACCCACTCCCTAATCAGGATTATACCAGAAGACCTCCGGAAAGCAACTACACATAGGAAAATATACAAAGGAAAGCTGGCCAAAGAGAACATATCATCCATCTTAAGGTCAGGATCAATTCCTTGGTTGAAAGAAAAGAATCGGATGATGGCTGACAGAGAACATATGCTCATGATAATGCAATTGGCAATCCAATAAATTCTCAAGGACAAAGGATGAGTAACTGCTCGGACTTTCTTCTCATGTCCAATCAGAATTAGAACTACCATATAGGTTACTACTTGAGTGGTTCTAAACACAGCCTCTGTGATCTTCCATGATGAGCTGGAACTTTGTCTGATAGCCAAGAGACAAAGAGACGTTGTGTTGCATATAACCAACAGAACCACAGCAAATAGAGATAGTTTGAACCAAAGGGTGAGTTTGACATAAGACCTTTCCTCTTCAAGAAGAGGTCTATTGGTGGAAGAACTGGAATTGCCATTGGAACTGAATCTTAGGCAGAGACGTTTGATGGAAGAGATTAGAAGGGTGAATAAGAAGATAAAATCAATGGCGGAAAGCAGGACGTGCTGGTAGCAGGGAGACAAGACTATAAATTCCAGCCATTCAATTGCGACCAAAATAGAACTTGATTCATCAGGGAACTGACAGGCACGAGTACAACATAATGCGAGCCATGGAGACAGGGACATTTTCATCAACCTTAGTTTGAGCACGCAGCAGCCCTCTCTCAGTGTGCACTGAAGTGAATAGATACTCGACTGTTTCAAAAGCTGATAAGCACAACATAAGCTTACTGGATGACGTCTGATGAAAAAGTGCTGATCATAACAGATAAACGAGTCCGTAGAATCTTGAGTCCACTCTTCCAGATTCTTGATGGGTGGGCAAGAAAGTGGTCTGCAACTGATTATTGACATGAAAGACCGGTGTCAATTACTAGAAGTTAGAATTAGAAACCTTATAATGAAATTAATGACACAGAAGGTATGATCAAAAGTCTTAACTTCCCATACTGAATGGTCAGAGACCAGCAGATGAAATACATAACTGTTAACAAAGCATACACCCAAAACCCAGTTGCTTGTTAAGCCTTTTGGCAGGGCACACTTTTTTGGATATAAGAATGGAGATGGACATAATCACTTCTCAATTCTCATACAATTACTGGAACATTCTTCAAGCAGAAGGCACGCACTTCATACTGTTAACGGCCTATTTGGATTAAACATTTAAAGATTTAACTTACAATTTGCTACGCTGGCTTGCTGCAAGATCGATGCATATTTCAGTTTCGCCAAGAGAAGGCCACTGTTACTGTATTGGTGCTGAGAAAGACATAAACACAGATAAACCCATCAACTTGAGTGGAAGCACTTCCACTTTATAAAGCCATCTAACTATCTAAATTTAAATGCAGAACAATCCAGCAAGAAAGTCAACGATAATTGAGCAAAGGGATATTCTGCCCCCACAAAAGCAACAAAAAAAAAAAAACTTTCACTAATCACTCCGTTTATGTTTACTTTTGAATTTTTTTACCATTTCTTTTCAAGTTTTGTGGGTTTTATTTTGGTGATGAAGCTTACAAATCAGTTTACATTAGTCATGAAGCGAGTAGTAATTAGAAAAGGACGACTAAAAGCCAAAAAGAATATGAGTAGAAAATTAGAGACAGTCTACCAGAGTAGTTAGCCTACTAAAAATGACCATTAAAGTGTAATAAGGGAACTTGACATTAAGGGCTTCATTTCATTCCAGATCACTTAACATAATTCCACAAAGAAACCCAAATTAGAACGGAGTTCTTTTTCACTGTGCCCAGCTCACTGACCTTTAAGTACACGATCTCATGAAAACTTGTGTTTAACTTCAGCTCGGTGCCGGAGGATTATTCCGGTGAGTCGTCGTTAAACCTCCACCATAGAATGCGGGGAAATAGCTTCCCAACTCAATTCTACTATCTCCCAGCTTCTCTAACAAGGCAATCCCTTCTTATTCGCCTCCTCGGCGGTGCGAACGCGGCAAGTATCAGGCGGAACAAACCCACTTCTTGCCTTTTTTCCCTCTCTGCTCTCCATGAAGCAATTTGGTTTCCCTTTGGGAATCGCCTGCATGATTCTGGTAACTTCTTGTTGGTAATTTGGAATTGATGGCCGACTATGAATGGAATGAAAAGCTAAAAGCCCTGCGATAAGAACTGAGCGAAGGCTCTCAGAAACGGAAAAGAATTCGCTGGGAACGACGATTACTACTTGAAAGCGGGCTGGGCTGATAATAATAAATAAATCAAACAAACCAGGCCCAATCATTTTGGTAAGAAGTAAATGGGCTAAAAATGTAATGAAGCCCAGACTAATTTCCTCGGATTTGAAGCCTTATGAATTTGTAACATTTTTTTTTTTTGACAAAAGATAATCTTATATTGATCACAGAAAAGATAGTTACATCCTGGACAACAGCCAGGCCTGATAATTGAAAACACGACTCATAGCCGGGTACAAAGAGAGGGCCTTCCTAGCCACTACATGGGCTACCCTATTGTTCCGCCGACCTACGAACCGAATATTAAACCCAGGATTACTGCCAAAAAGATCCAACACTTCCTCCAAAATAGCACCCATCCTGCTATCACGCGAATCCCCACGATTGATTTTATCAATGATCACCTTCGCATCTCCTTCAAATCGAACCAAAACAAATCCTTGCTCCAAACACCAAAATATTGCCGCCCGCAGAGCTAATAACTCCACAGTCGCTGGATCATCCATGCCAGGAAATGTGACCCCACTCACCCTGAGGACAGCGTCCTCGGGAGTCAAAATGACCATTCCACCTGCCGCATGCGACCCCCGCCTAGTGGCCCCATCCCATCTACAGACTACATCACAAGCTCCAACCGGCCCCGGTTCATGATCCCCTACCACCCGGGTCGGAGAGTCTTCCTCCACCGGCAGGCGCGCCCATTCCTCCACCTGTTGCGCAAATTGACGCAGAAGAGCCGGAAGACTAAACTGTTTACCTTCAAACACAACCCAATTCCGGGATTTCCAAATCCGCCAAAGGACAGCAAAAATTGCCATCCATTGCGCAGGTTGCGAGATCAAAGCCAGCAACTTCTTAAGGAACATAGGAAACGAATGCCGTGGTAGGCCCTCCCCAAAGTGTTCCATAACTGCCGCCCCCCAGAGAGCTCGCGCAATCGGACACTCCAAAAACAGGTGTTCCAAGGTTTCAGCAGCCTCCCAACAAACCGGGCAACGAGGTAGGACTGAAATATGACGGCTAATCAGAGCTTCCATGGTTGGTAAAAGCCGATTGAAAATCTGCCAACCAAACACCTTCAACTTTGGCGGAATATTAGCCTCCCACAGTCGTATCCAACTAGCCCTGTCCATCCAGTCTACCGTAGACTTCCACCGCCCCCTCCTTTTCTCCAACGCCAAAGCCAAATGATAGGCCGATTTCACCGAGAACTCCCCATCTGCCGTATCAAACCAAACTAGCCTATCCTCCACATTACCTTTCGGAAGCGGAATAGCTTTAATGAGACGGCATGTCCCCGGATCAAACCACTGCCTCAGCTTTTCATCACACCACCTCCCCTCTCCTTCACAAATTAACTCCGCCACCAGCGGGTCACCACACTCTGGCAAAATTAGAGGATTATACCGTATAGGCTCTAGCTGAAAGCCAGGGACCCAGGTAGAATGGAGCATAGAAACTGCATGCCCATTACCAACCTGCCAGCGTAAACCCATTTCCAAAAGCTTCCGCCCAAACAAGATGCTCTGCCAACCCCAAGATGGCCGAGATCTCGCTTTAGCCGATAGAAAGTGTCCAGTAGGAAAGTACTTTCCACGATAAACTTGGGCCAGCAAAGAATTGGGCTCACTAAGAATACGCCACCCAATTTTAGCCAACAGCGCCTGGTTAAACTGCTCAAATCTGCGGAAACCCATCCCCCCATCATGTTTACTTCGACACATCTCCCGCCAAGACATCCACCGCACCTTAGAGTGCCCTTCATTTTCCCCCCACCAGAAACGAGCAACATGCCTGTCTAACAAGCGGCATAAGGATAACGGGAGCTTGAAACAGGACATCACATGTAAAGGCAAAGCCAATGCAATAGACTTGATAAGAGTTTCTTTAGCCGCCCACGACAGCGATCTCCGTTTCCATCCCTGAAGTCGTTCTAACAACTTAGCTTCCAAATACCGGAAGGTCTCCACTTTCGATCTTGCAATAAGCGTCGGTAGCCCCAGATATTTATCATGTACTCCAACTGCACCCACCCCTAGGACTGCCGCCAGGAACTCTTGGTCTTGTACCAATATATTCCTACTGAAGCAAACCGCCGATTTATCAAGGTTCACCTTTTGGCCACTCAATTCCTCATAATCATTAAGGACCTCAATAAGGTTCTCACATTCTTGCAGGTTCCCACGCAGGAACAGATATGAATCATCAGCGAAAAATAAATGCGTCAGCCTTGGCGCACGGGGAGCCACTCTAATCCCTGCGAGTCTTTTGTCTGCTATCGCTTTACGAAGCAAAGCCGCAAACCCCTCCGTGCACAGCACAAAAAGGAGAGGGGACAGGGGATCCCCTTGGCGCAACCCTCTGGTCGGGGAAAAGAAACCCGATGGGGTGCCATTCATCATTACTGAAAAAGATGCAGAACTGAGGCATTCTTTAATCCATCCTACCCAGGTGGAACTAAAACCCATTTTATCCAAAACAGCAAAAAGGAAGGGCCACTCGACTCTATCATAGGCCTTTTCCATGTCAACCTTTAGAGCCATATACCCTTTCTTCCCTCGAGTTTTGGTTTTTAGGTAATGCATAAGCTCATGTCCGAGTAAGATATTATCCACAATCTGACGGTCCTTAATAAACCCATTTTGCCCTTCAGAAACCACCTGGGGAAGAATAATAGACAAGCGCTCTGCCATTATCTTGGTTATAACTTTATACACAAATTGGCATAAACTTATAGGGCGCAGTTGTCTCATTGTCTCCACATTATCCACTTTAGGAATTAAAGTGAGCCAAGTATGGTTAAAACTGCGAAGTAGCCGTCCCGAAGCAAAAAAAGAACAGACTGCATCAATAACCGATGGACCGACAATATCCCAGAAGGCCTTGAAGAATTTTCCAGTGAAACCGTCAGACCCTGGTGCTTGTTTCGATCCCATAGCAAATACTGTTCTACGAACCTCCTCCGGTAAAACTACCGCCGTTAACTCTGCATTCATCTCCGATGTGACATTTCGGGAAATGGGCAAATTGTGGATTCGATTAGGCATATCCTGAATCTGATTTTCCGATGAGAAAAGGGCACTATAGAAATTACTAGCAATATCTGCCTTGCCTTTCTCATCGGTAACCCACTGACCAGCGTCATCCCGAAGGCCGCTCACAAAGTTCCTTTTACGACGGGTTCTTGTCACCGTATGGAAGTACGATGAGTTTTTATCTCCCTTTTTTAGCCACCGAACCCTGGATTTTTGTTGCCAGTACTCTTCTTCCGCCTCCCATTGTCTACTCAACTCCATTTCAAGCGAACGGACCTCATCCCAGTTAATGGGCAGATCCTGCTTAATCCGATCTATTTCAGTCTGCAGGGTTTTTATATTTCTCAAAGAATTCGTCGTACCTGCGCGGCTCCAATCATATAGCAAATGACGGAGTTTCTTGAGACGCTCCCATAATCTGAACATGGGGGTACCCTGAATTTCCTCTTTCCAGACATAAGCCACCATGGCTCGAACTTCCGGGTTCTCCGCCCAACGGGCATCAAATCGGAAAAGAGGCCGACTATTACGAACATAAGGTTTGTCAGATAGCAGAATTGCCCGATGATCTGATCCTTGGTCAGTAAAGTGTTTCACCAAGGTCTCTGGAAAACGATCCAACCAGGACTGAGAACAAAGGGCTCTATCTAACCGTTCTCGAATACACGCAGGTCCCATTCGTTTGTTTGTCCAGGTAAACGGATCTCCCTGGTACCCAGGATCAATGAGACCCATATCCAGAATAAAATCACGAAGACTAGCCGATTGATTGGCATTCCATTGATTACCCCCATCCTTTTCACCCTCATGAAGAGTGGCATTAAAATCACCTATGATAGTGTAGGGATAAGTGATGCCACCGCAAATAGTACGCAAGTGATTGAATTGGGTCGCTCTGATATCAGCATGACAACTAATATAGACAAACACCACCACATAAGAAACGTTCATTTCATTAACTTGAACACAAATACAAAATCCGAATGAAAAAACACCGAGGCATCAACCTCGGGGGACCAGCCAACAACCAAACCACCTGATGCATCAACCGCATCAACAAAAAAACAACAAGAACGAAGAAAACCTAAACCCCGCATTCGCCGGGCAACTACCTTCCGTTTCGATCGCGTTTCCGCAAAAAACACGAGCTCGGGTTTATTAGAATGCAGTAAACCAAACGCAGTTTGGAATGTGAGGGATGGTCCAATTCCCCTCACATTCCAGGCCAGCAGCCTCATTTATCCACATGGGGCCACTCCAGGCTGGCTTCCTCCACCTTCTCAGCAATCTCCATGTCCTCCACGAACTGTTTCTTGGGAGCCGGAATCTCCACGTCTTCCCCCTCAAGGTCTTCCAAATGACGTTTTTTATTCCCTGACATCTTCGAACAAATATTAGAACCATATTCATTAATCTTGATGCCAGGCACAGTCTCCTCATCGAGGTTTGGGCGCATGACCAATGTTGGCTCAGCATCCGCCATGGTCATTCCTTTTTCGAAAGCTTGGACCACTTGGTTCACCCGATTTGATCGGGCCAAGCGTTTCAGACTTTCTTTGCCCTGAGGACTACGGCGCCGGATTTCAAAGACCGGCCCCTCCTCCTCCGACGTAGTACCCGTCGAAGCATCACCCGCAGAGCCCAGGCCCACCGGCTCCACCTCTGATACGTCCTCCACACGATCCTTCCCTTTCCTCCTCCTGATTACTTCCCTAGGCGACAGCATCCGGCTCCCTTCCGTCATCCCAGCCCCATTCACTCCTACACCCTGTTCACCATTCGCATCACCTGCCTGCGCCGGAGGAATTTGTTGCAGCGGCAGCACATCCAGCACCTCACAATCCCGTGGGCCAGCCCGATA